TAATTAATAGTGGTAGGCATGTCAGAGTAAGTGAGACTGGCTCAGGACAGAGCTGTGTTGAGAGCTGTTGTACATAGAGTCACTATGAGTTGCAGGCAACTCATTGGCACATAGCAACAGTTAGAATTGACTTAATAACAGCAGCCAACGTTTTTTAGATATTACCTCAACTTAGATGCATTTTAGAATCACCGAGATTTTGATGTATTCTCTCTAGGCTTGAAAACCCTGGGGTGCCCTTTGAAACCTACCCAGGTGAGTTTACTGTGAAGCCAAGTTTGATAACCACTGTGCTTGACCTTGCTCTTAGCACTTCTGTAAAATTCATTAAAAGATACTATTCATTTAGAAAGGCTAAATGGAATTGGAAAGAGAAAGAGTGTCTCTTTCAGGTGATGCTGTCAAATTCTGACAACCTAGTTTCTTACTGTTTCTCAAGTAACATCATTGATTTTTGCTCAAGTGTTGGGCACAGAAGCAGCAACCAGCCATGAAATATCCCATGTTAAGCTGCACAAACACCGTGGAAATCCCTGTACTACCAAGCTGAAGCGTGATGAAAGAGCAGGCTCGCTGGGACCCCCAAGACCCTCAGCCCAGTGGTTCAGGCCTGAAACAGCCCACTGCTGGGGCTCAGCGTTCAGCAAACAGTGGACTGACCAGTAAGGTGAAGCGGAACCGCAGGCAGGTACAGACTCGTCAGAACAGCCCTCCACACGAGAGTAAAGGCCCCATTGGCCCAGGGCTGCAGCTCAGGCAGCAGGAAGCCTGGGGACAAGTGGGGGTGGGAAGAGTGCTTTACAGTTGCCATCTGTGTGCCAGAACAGAATGTGAGTGAATGGACCACAGGAACCGTTTGAAAGGAGGTAAATAGTCATGGGTTCCTGTGGGACGGAGACCGTAGCTCCTGAGGAAGGCAGAGGAGCGGGGTCCACCCAGCTCCAGGAGGGGCGGTAGAAAGCCCAGCCCTGTCTCTTACGCATCTCGTGTGGCCCACTTTCTGTGACTTGTTAGTGTCTGTAGATCCTTGACCTTTGCCTGCGGACTGCTGGCTCCTGAGGTGGTTTAACTGGCCCCCCCGCACGGTGGGTGCTGCAGGAAACCAGCAATCTCGGGACCGAGCACGAAGAGCTTTCTGGGGCTTGCTCTCTGAGTAATCCTCACCGTAACCCCACAAGAGGACTCAGACCTCTTAACAGAAAACCCAAACAGATGGTGTCAGAAACTCTTCAGGGTCACCCAGCGTAGAAGCCGAACCAGATCCCAGTGTCGGCCTTGGACTTCCCTGAGAGCAGGGTGTCCGTGTCCTGCGGGTGCCATGTGCTTCCACCCCACTCTGGACGATCTGTTCCAGCTGTAGCCGGCCCTGGGGCTCGAGTTTACCTGAGGATGCCGTGGCTTCTTCCCTCCACACAAAACTTAGTTGAAGTTGCCACGTTTGGGGAGTGTGTCCGCTCCCTTCAGAGTGAGAACTCAGAATCTGATTTTGTTTGAGGTGCTGCAGTGTGAACACAATGTCCTGCTGGTTTGGTAGGTAGAGCATTCAGCTGCCGACAGAGCTGTCCACGTTAGGTGGCCACGGTAATGGAGATTGTTTTCTGTACCCCACTACGTTCCCTCTCAAACCCCGATAGGACCCTCCCAGCCAGGCCTGTGCACCTGCAGACGTGGTGCCCTGAGGTTGCCCGTGAGGGCAGGAGAGAAGAGCTCGCACGTTGATGGCGCGTCCTCCTGTTTACGCTATTTCCAGGGGCTGCATGTTTGTGTTGTTTGCTTAAGCCAGGCTTGTCTGAGATGTGTTACCTCAGAAAAGTGTTGACGGAGCTTGGCTTTTGGTGGGAGCTATGACTTATGACTCATTTATTGTGGCTCCAGAATCAGTTCCCAACATGTTGAGTAAAGAAACAAACACCCTTCTTGTTTTATAAAGTGTGAACAGAAGGAATCTTGTTAATGCCCTAAGTGTTCTCCCTGCCCTCCGTGGAGCTGCGCGGGGACCGGAGTTCTGTGCCCTCGGCCGGCACCTTCCTGGTGTGCTCAGACTCACGTGTGTGGCTGTGTGTCTGCTTAACACCCTGTCCACCTTGACGAGACCAGGCCATTTGTGTCCTCAACCGGAGCCCTGGTGGCTGTTAGGCCAGGGACTCCCTCCAGCCACTAGAAGCGCCAGCTACCTCCATCCAGATTATTTACATCCGAGGGACCCTGTTGGTGGTTTCCCTCTGTTCTTTGAATCACTGAGTTGGAGTCACCTTGACAGCAGTAGGTTGTGTTACAACATCACATCTGCTCTTTGGTTCAGTGTAGCTGTGTTGACCGAGCCACATTTGTGCAGGAAGGCTCGCTGTCATGTCAGTGTCAGCACATGTAACTGTAGTTTTCAGGAATTCACCCTGTCTCTTTTTACTTTTTAGAAAGTGAGTTCATATCTTTAAAAACAAAATACTACATATTCCAGAATTCTCCCCTTTTTTCCTTCAGGAAGTAAGGTAATACCTGCAGAATACTTAACACCCCTCACCTACCAAGAAAAGACAGTTCTGAGAGCCCCCTCCCTCAGTCTCGTCTTGCCTCACCACCTCTGCGCTTTCTCCACACACACTTCTTAAGCACCATCGCCCAGGAGTGTTTTCCCAGACCTCCCGTCCTGCAGATGAAGAAACTCCACCTCAGGTGAGGCGCTGGAGCTCACCGGGCTCACCCCGGCCTCTGCCAACTGCCCTTGGGCCCACGACACTTGCCTCTCAGACCCTGTGCTGTGCCACCTCCCTTCTCACTCCTACCACCTGAGCCAGCTCCCCCCTCAGCAGAGCTCTCCTAACACCCCACACACACCCCACACCGCACGCAACCCCCATCCCCACGCACACACACACATGCCCCCGTGCACTGTGCATATAAGCTTTGCTCAGCCCCTCATGGCCGCATGCTCGTAGGCCTGGGAGGTGCGCGCCCACGGGGCCAGGCTGGACCCGCAGGAAGGTCAGTTCTGAGGTATGGACAGTCCAGGAGGTGAGCTCACAGAGACAGGCAGGCAGCAGGATCCTTCTCTGTCTCTCAGGACCTCGTACCTCTCACCTCAGTGTCCATGGGATGTGAATGCTCTTGGCAGAAGCTCTCCTTTCCCATCGTTTAGAGACATCATTGTTGGCACATCAGTCTTGCTGGGCATTTACTGGGGCTGCACAGAAAGTTTGGGGTGCATCCTAGGTGACACCCCTGCCCACTTGAGTTTCCTACATTGCTCTGTGCACCTCCCTCAACAGGTGGGGCTGACGCAGTGACAGTAGTGGACTCAAGCCTCACCCAGCTGTGAAGATGGTACTGGACCATGCAGGTCCTGTCCGACGGTCGCCAGCTTGGTGCACCTCCGACACCTGATCCCTCCCGAGACCACTAGCCCCCTCCAGGGCTCTCCCTTTCCGAGCCAGAGCTTCTCACAGGATCCACGAGGAAGAACCGGTTCTTTCTCCCTAAGCTGTCTGGTCTGGTGGCCTAGTGGGTAAGGAGTTGCTCTGCCAACCCAAAGGCGCACAGTTGAATCCGCCACCTCGCCGAGAGGAGAATGTGCAGCCTCCTGTGTGGCTCATGGCCTCTGGGAACCGGATGGAGGGTCAGCTCAGAGTCGGTTCTAGCTCGCTGGCACCTAACAGGAAGTCTTCAGCAGATGCAGCCGTAGTTTTCAGGAATTCACTCTTAGCACTTATGTTTATAAAATAGAGACAGTTGAATTCAGGCTCTGTCTGATTACTTAGCGTCAGTCTCACCTCCTTGGCTGTGAACAGAGCAGTGACCGTCCCCGGGCCTCGTCAGAGGTGGTTAGTGGGGACGCCATGGCAGTGTAGTCACAGAGCTCACGCAGAGCCGTCGGAGGGGGCTGCTGTCTGTACTGTTGTCATTAGTGGATCGCCCACATAGCCAACAGGTGGCGAGTTTGCAAGACGAGTGAATGAAGAAAATGACCTGCAGAATAAACATGCCATGGAATACCACCCACTGACAGCAAGCAGGAAGGGCCTGTGGGTGCTGTGACATCGGTCCACCTGGGGACACTGTGCCGAGTCAGAAAAGCTTCACTTAAATGTGCTGTGTGAATGTCCCCACAGGCAAATCTCAGAGACAGGAGATTTCTTAGTGGGTGCCGTTAGTTCGTTAGAGAGGGGCAATGATGAGAATACTGTAGGACCACCTGGCAGCCACAAGTGTACCCTCTGAATGTGCTGCAACTAAACACTGAGAGGGACATGTTAATTAGCGGCCTTTAGCATAGGAACTTGATTCCAATAAAATTGTTTTTTAAAAATGAACCAGTTGTGCTGTAATGAGTAGCCTGGTGCAAACGCACATTTGTTTAGAGGTATGACTCTTACCCAGCTTCCTAAAAGTAGGTCACATAGCTGCTGAGACTGGGCCATTCACACCCCGCTCGCTGCCTATTGCCCGGCCCCTCCCTTGTGTTCGTGCCTTGTTGCCTGAAGTGTCGTGGAGTCTCTGCACCTGCCGTCCAAGAGCATCCTTGGCGTGCAGGCCAGTGTGGTCCTCTGCCGCTCTGACGCATGTGAGATGATCGCGCAAGGCAATTATAATTTAACATTTCTCCATAGGAGCAGTTCACACGTCTTAATATTGTTAATGGTCTAATTGCATTTCATGGTACCCATATCTTTCAGATGACTGGTATTGCTTTATTGCTCGTTTTTCTTAAGTTCTTTGTACATTAACATTCATGTGAGTGATTCTTCACCTGTGATGTGGAATGTCCCAAACAGGGAGGAGGGTGTGATTTCCTCCTCTGAAGATGTGTAGCCTCAGGACCTGATGGAGGGTCACCAGGTGTCAGAATTCCCTCAGGGCAGTGAGTTTTGAGCTGATGGTAATATTTCCCCAAACAGCACTCTGACCACGCGGACGGAATTGTAAAGAAGCGCTGATCCTGCAGTCTCCATCCACAGCCAGCCTCTTTCCAAGCGTGTGTAGTAACTTTGTCTTTCCTGTTCCAGGTGAACGAACTGGACGGAATCCCGCTGATCCTGGACAACTGCAGCATTGATGACAGTAACCCCTGTATCCTTGCATCTGTGTTTTCCTCCCACTCCCCAGGGCCAGAGCCCACCAGGTCCACTTCCTGGGCTTCTTCCCTGGGTGAATAAACAAGTTAGGGTACTGAAATAATGCACCTCCCAGCTGCACAGTATAATGAGCTTTGTACGGTGAGTAAAATATTCTAAACAGCTACTAAAATGCAGCAGGAGTGGCGTGTCCTGGGCCCTGGGCTCTACAAGCAGAATGGCAGGTTTCCCTGTGGAGATAGGAGGTGAATTCTGTGGCCACATGGAAATATGAGGCCCTGTTGTTGTTGTTATTGTTGTTATGTGTCATCAAGTCGCCTGTGACTCATAGAGACCCTCTGAAGCCTGCCTGTCCTGTCCTGATTCAGTCTCACTGACTCCAACACACCTGCCCCCATTGTCACAGTCACTGTATCAATCCATCTTATCCGAGGTCTTCCTCTCCTGAGCTGTCCATCCACCCTTCCAAGCATGATGTCCTTCTTCAGGGACTGTTCCCTCCTGGACATGTGCCCAAAGTATGTGAGATGGAACTTCAAAATCCTAGCCCTCAAGGAGAATCTTGGTTTCACTCTCTCCAAGACAGACCTGTTTGTTTTCTTGAGGATTCATGGTTTGTTCAAGACTCTTCTCCAGCACCACAACTCAGAGGCAGTGATTCTTCTGTCACCCTTAGTCATTGTCCAGCTCTCTGATTAGTACATAGTAAGAGGTCCTGTTACTCCCCAACAATAGAGAGACACAGCAGCGGGGTGCTGCATCTTCGTTTTTGAGAGGTTCTGTCTTGTAACCCTTGGTGGCAGACACTGGGAGCCCTGGCTCTTCTCATTGTGGGTACTGGCCACCTTTGCCGGCAGGTGTCCTTAGACCGCATGCTCACTTCCTGTATCACATTGATGTGATGTGATGTGATGTGATGTGATGTGATGTGATGTGATGTGATGTGATGTGATGTGATCACAGCAGCCAGGGACTAGCCCCACCTGTGTCGGTGTGAAGGGCTGCCCAACATTCCCTGGTGAGAGCCATGTGCAACTGGCTCCTCCTGTAGTGACCGGCAGCTCTTTTCCCTGGAGAAAGTGGATGAGGTCTTGGTGGGGCTTTGGATTGTGGCCCATGGAGTCCAGCCTAGGACTGAGAGGGACAGGAAGACAGCATTCTCAAGCCAGTCCCCTCACAGTAGTTTCTGTCACAAAGGAAAGAGGAGATGAAGAAAATAGTGTAAGTCGACTGAGTAGTGCTGAGTGTGTGTCATGTTACTCTGATTGTCAGGAGAGAAAAAGTGTCTGATTTTAGAGTACAGAGGCTCAGAAGAGGAGTCAGGGCAGGTAAGGGGGTTTGAGCTCAGTGCTTTATCAGGGGCTATGCGCCACTTCTACCCTCACCCTTCCCCTGCCCTCACCTGGCAAAACAATGTTGAGGTGCGATTGCAGATGCTGTGATTCTCTGTAAGACTAGATGGCGTGTCAGGAAAGAATTCGCCCCACATCGACTTTCATGTCCCTGAGTTGATCCTCAGGTGTAATGACGGTGTCGCCACTAGTGCTTGGCTTTTATCAGAGCAGACGTAAGGCAGCAGGCGCACAGTGGAGAGGCGGTGCTCCCTGCTTCCTCTTACTCCAGAGGACTGTTTGCTCACTTTGTTGAGGAAACGTTTAGTTGGTCCCTCCCTTGGGTTTGCGTGTGTTGCTCTGTTGCTGGATCCGTTGAGGTAATTGTGCTGCACCGTGGCCCCGGGTGACAGCAGAACTGCCTCACTGAGTATTTGGGTTGTGATCTCAGTGGGAGCAGAGCCCAAGGTCTCCTGTACAACCGCCAAGGGGGATTGAACTGCCAGCCTTTGGGTTAGCTGAGCAGTTAACCATTGCACCCCCAAGGATCTTTGTAGTATTACTGTCGTCTCCTCTTTCTAGATGAGGGAATAAGCTGAGTGGCCAGGGCATGTCCAGAGGATCAGAACCAGAGTTGAAACTCCCCCGTCGCTGATCCGTAGCCACCCTCTGGTCCTGTCTCCACGTGAAAGCACCAGGAGAGACGGAGCATGGACAGATACCACTGATGGAGCCTTACAGTGGAAACGCTTTTCAGAATTTCAAATTTAAACATGTGCACAGATAACTGGGTTTTCATAATTCTGTAGTGATTGCAAGATCCAATCATTAAAAAAGAGGAATAAATAGCTTTAGAATTCTGTGTATTGTGATTCTATAGCCTTTTTACGTACAAAAGCGCTTCAGATAGGTATAAAATACAGGATCTGTACCAGAGCAAGGGAGGATGCTGGCTAGCTGACAAGAGGTGAGGACGAGTCGTCAACTTGAGGGCCTCTGCCTAGAGTGGACCTGGACATGTGACCTGAGCTTCCTGGGGACCCCGTTAGTCCTGGCCAGACCCGCTGCCCGTCTCCTGTGGGATCATCGTTGTTTCTAGTTGATCTCCGTATGTTCTGCAGGGAAGCCCATCAGTTTCGTGTGCATGGCTGGTATTTTCTTTCTCTTGGTCCGTGGCTCATCTTCCCATCTCCTTTGATTAACAGAAATCCATTTAGTCACCACTATTCATTTATGGCTTGTGTGTGAAGAAACACTTTCCCACCCTGAAGTCACAGTGATAATCTTCTGAATGACTTTTGCGTTTTGGTCGGAGTAAATTTTTGTATGTGAGGTGAGAAGGGAGTTTATTTTTTGTTGTTTTTCTATGTGGAAAATCTGCTAGTGCAGCTGCCCAGCGCTGACTGTTGACAGGAACGTACTTCTCCCTCTGTGGCACCTTCTCCTCCTCTGTCTTAAGTCAGAGTCCGTAGATGAGCGTGGGTGTCTCTCCTCTTGCAGGGTGCTTTGTCTCCAGTTTGTGATGACTGGTGTAGTATTTGACGCAGTCAAGCCAGTTCTTTCCCTTTCTCCTCTCCTTGAAGGTGTAATGTCTGTGTTTGGTCATCTGCATCTCTGTACCGAAAATTTACAGCCACTTGGAATTCCCCAGTCACACATGCAGACTCTTAAAAAACAAACAAATGCAGAAAATGATAATCAGTTTAAAAAAGGAAAATACCTTGGTGGTGGACTATTTGCTGAAATAACATTCACTGAAATCAATTTGGTGAAACTCCTCATCTGTGTATGTAGTATATCTGCCTCTTTATTTAGGCTTATTAATTGTTGCACTTTTCAGTTTTTTCTATATAGTTCTTTAGCTCTGTCACATGGATTTTGTTTCATATTATTCTTGTTAACATTAACTTTTAAATGTTTCATGATTTCTGTTAAAGTTTCTTTTTGACTCGTAGGTTATTTGGAAAATATTTTCTTCATTTTTAATAGAAATCTTCCGGTAGTCATTTTGGAGGCTGATTTCTGCCATCAGTGTGTGAGAACATGAACCTTATCACCTCTATCCTCTAAACTTGACTGAGGCTTGCTTTATGACCCTGAACATGGTCAGTTTTTTAAAATGTGCAGTGTGTGTGTGAAAATCCTGTGTATTCTTCAGGGGACCCTGGGATGTGGGGTGGTAGGTGTTACTGAGTCAGCTACGACTCAGTATTGTGCATTAAAACCAATCCAGCATCCTCACCTGGTCCTAAAAAGGGCCCCCATCTCGCCCCTGCCTCCCTCTGACTCTTACCTCATGCTGTGCTCCCTCTGTTCAGCATCTCGCAGCCACACTTAACGTGGTGGTTCTCGGACAGCTCTCACTTCTCACCTCCGGGCGGTCATCTCCCCCTCGAAATGCTCTTCTCCCGCTGGGTGATGCTCATGCCCAAGTGCATGTCCCTTGCTCTGTGGGGTCGTTCCTGAAGCCCAGTGTGAACTAGATCTCACCTGATGGACTTCCTCCAGAGCCTGTTCTGTTCCTTCAGCTTGATACAGCATTGCACCCAAACCTCCTGTGGGCTGTGTGTCTGAAAACAGGGGCCGTGTTTTCTGTTACACGCTTGACTATTGCATACGCTGTCTAGAGCATACTGTTGATTGATGCCATCAAGTCAGCTACGGCTTAGAGCACCCTATGAACACCAGATCTGGCCTGCACATGCTCGGGTCCAGTGTTAGGATCACTGTGTCAGTAAAGCCCCTTAGGGCTTCACCTCGCCTCCTGGTGCTCTGCCTTTCCCCACATGATGTCTCCCTCCAAGGACTAGTTTCTCCTGAAAAACAGAACCAAGGTGAGGTGAAGTTTGAGCATCCTTACCGCTAAGGTTGCCCCTCCTTCAGGACAGATTTGTGTGTTCTTTTGGCGCTCAGTCTATTCCATACTCTTCCCAGCACCACAGTTTAAAGGCATTGATAATTCTTCTGTCATCCTCATTCATCGTCCAACTTTCCAATGCTTAGGAAGTAACTGAAAAGACCGTAGTTTGGATCAGGCTCACCATAATCTTTAAACTGACGTCCTTGTATTTTATTGCACTTTGGAGCGTTACATGACAGCAGATTTCCTCAGTGCAGCACGTTTTGATTTCTTGATTGGTGCACCGTTGGATGTTGATTGTGGATTCAAGTAAAATGAAGTCGTTGACAACTTCCATTTTTTTCATCATCTCATCTTTCGTGATGTTGCCTCTTGATCCAGTGGTGCTGTTTCTTGTTACCTTGGTGTTGAGATGTGACCCACATTGTAGGTTGTGTAGTCTTTGATCTTCTGTAGCAAGCACATCAAATTCTCCTTACTTTAAGCAAGCAAGATTTTTTCATCTGCATAATGTTTATTGTTTGTTTAGGCATCTTCTTCCAATACCCTTCCCACATTCTACTTCATACAGTCCAGCTTCTTGAATTATTTGTTGCACATATAGGTTGAACAGATAGGAAGAAAGGATGCAACTGTGATGCACACCTTTCCTGATTTTCAGTCATGCAGTGTTTCCTGGTTCTGCTTTGACAACTGCTTCTTAGTCTGTGTATATCATGGTTGACCTGGGCACAGTTAAATATTCTGGTTTTCCAGTTCTTCTCAGTGGTAAGAACCCAACCCTTGCCTGTACATAGTAAACAT